AGACATTTATAATATATATATATATATATATCATTTACTTTGTTTTCCTTCTTTTTTATTTTCAATTTTAGTAATTTTTGTATGATTTTTCTTTTTTCCTTTCATTTTTATTTATTTATGTCCATTTTAGGTTGAAATCATTTATCTTGTTTTGCCAGCAAAAATTCCAACGTCCATGTGCAGGATTTTAAGTGAGGCTTGTCGGTCGATGGACGTGAACAAAGAATTATAATTTTCTTCTATTCAAATCTTTTCTTTTTTCTTTCAGTTTATCGACATGAATTAGTTTTTTTGTTGTTGTATTTATATATATATATATATATCTTTTTTTTTTCTATCTTTTATATTTTTAATTTAAAGAATATTATTTTATTTTTAAAATTAGGTAAATCAACTGATTTGTGTTGGCTAACTTTTTCAACAATCTATAATGAATTAACATGAGTAAACTGAATTGATTTACTTCGACACCTTTAATTGAGATTTAAAATAAAGGATTTTTTCTTTTGCCGAAATAGTATGACTAAAGGATATTCTTGTTCTTTCCTTGTATTTTCTAAGTTTATCATGGATTACAAAATTCTTTTAGGCTAGGCTTGAGAAATCCAAATAGGATTTTGATACTATTGATTTTCAACTTTTAGTCGAGCATTTTGTTCATAATTTACCCTTTAAATTTAAACTTATTACGTACTTATGTATGAAATTATTACTCATGTAATGATTTCACGAACCTTCGTAGCATTGGAAAACTATATGTTTAATTATTGTTTCTTGATTATTATTTTTTGGGGTCATACTCTTTGATTATCTAGAAATGAAAAATTTCATTAAAGGGTGTAATTTGTATATTTTTTATCCATCTATTTTATTCTTATGTTTATTTTATATTAGATCATAAGTATTCTTGTTGGGAGATCATAAACTAGAGCTAATGGTCTAATTCTATAGCTAGCTAGATCATAAACTAGAGGAAGATAGTAATGACATGGTATTGTCCTTGTTGGGAGAAATACAATTGGTGTAGAAGCTTTTACTTTAATATTTTGAGTATTGTGTAATATAACAATTCGATTAAATAATAATTTATTTAAAAATATATAAAAATTATAATTAACCATTTAGTCTGTTAGTTTGTATATGAATTTGGTACCTCTTATACCTTTCAATATAATATTTTTGGCTGTTTAAAAAAATAACGTCTCGAGTTAACACATATTAATCATATTCTAATTATTAGAATATCCTTAATCAACTCAATGCACTCGCTAGAGGTGGCTGTTGCCTTATGACACTACTAGAATTTCTCTTATTACATGCGACTTTTTCTGTGAATTTTTCATAAAAATTCGCAGAAAATATTGTTCTTACAAATTTTTTTGCGAAATTTTATCTGCAAGTAACACCTTCGTGGATAATATTTTTTTGCGAATTTTAAAATTCGCAAGAAATTTTCCTGCGAAATTTATTGCGAAAAAAATTCGTAGGAAACTTTCCTTCGAAAAAAAAGTTGCAGGAAATTTTCCTACAAAAAAAATTTGCAAGAAAATTTGCAGGAAAGTTTCCTGCGAATTTTTTCGCAAGAAACTTTGCAGGAATATTTTTTACGAAAAAAATTAAAGAAATTATTATAAATTCTATCAATAATTTTTCAACTTTCAAATGCTCACAATGAATTCATCCGAAACATTTGTTTCCATGTCTCTAATATGTGATACATAATCTTTCAAATTCTAAGATTGTAGATTATAAGCGTATCACTCAACCATATAAATCAACTTGTAAGGTAAGTGTTGCCCCAACTTATATACTCTTTAATTGCTTTATTTTCAATCAATGTGGGACTTGAAGTTTTTTTAAAATATTAAACTTATAAAATTTAAATATATTTTTTTTATTTTTCCTGCGGATTAAAATTTGCAGGAAAATTCGCAAGAAAAGTTACTTGCAAATTTTTTCTACCATTTAGTAAACATTACTTGCAAATTTATTTTTGCAAGAAAATCTACAAGAAACAAAATAAAATTCTTACAATATTTTCTGCAAATTTTTACCATGGAAAAAAATTTCTATTATTATTAAAATTATAGCAAAATTTGTAAGAAATATCTGTAAATTATTTTTCGCAAATAAATTCGCAAAAAATTTCTGCAAATATTATTTTGCAGGAAAATTCGCAAAAATTTTCTGCAAATATTTATTTGCAAGAAAATTTGCAAATATTTTTTTGCAGGAAAATGACACTTTTCTAGTAGTGTGACAAGGAAGAAGGCAAGTCGAGCTACATTGGTGTTTGTCCTCCAACCAAAACATTGTTTTGAAGTGATGCAAAACAAGTCCAACACCATCATCTTAAGAAGGTTATTCACGTTATTGTAGATGAAATTAATTTATCATAAAATATTTAGATACAGTAAAAAAAATTAATTATTATCAATATTAATTAATTTTTAAACTTCTTGTTAATTGGACTTCGACTAAAGTAGGTATATACGCATGCACAAAGAGAGCAGCCCAAAACAAAAAAAAAAAACAAAAAAACCACCTATTAACATCACGCTTTTTACTGCTTTACTGCGCAAGATCCAGTATTTAACGAATGAAAATGAGACAACAATTAACCTTGTACCTTCAATATAATGTTACAAAATTATTCATAATAGATGAAACCTCAACGTATATAAGACGATTTCTGAATTGAGAGAATAAGAGAACTTATCTGATAACAATATAAAGTTGGCGCATATACAAACCGATAGGGAAGTAGCTAACCAACAAAATTTAAAGAAACCTGCTAATGTTGTCTAATAACATAATGCAACCACCTTTAATTAGGGCAACGATAATTCATAATTGTGTATATACGTGCATGGTTAGAATTTGAACGACTCAACTATTTAAAGAAAGTTGAATTGAGATTTTGAGCAATATATGTAACTAAATGAAAAGAATCGAATATATGAAAGTAACTGGGTGCCTTGTCACTAATCAAATAATAAATGTTTACAGAATCTGGTTATGCAACCATTAAATTGAAAAGAAAACTTAAAACAAAACGTGTTAGATATGTGTTACATTTATATTAAACAATTTGAATGTCTTCTCCTTTGAGAAAGAAAAATTATATTTAAAAAATGAAGGCAAATTCAAAAATAGATACTGAATTATGTCACTATATGTGGTGAAGAATTTACTTTGTAGATTACTAGACTGAACATTATATTGCTTGAACATGAAAACAGAGTGGTTTTATTAATAAAAGAAATCTCAGCACTTTACATATTTCAGCTTTTTAATATTTAAGCAAGCTATACGAAGATATCACAATTCACAACCATGCATGGAACCATTTGCTTGACATTAACAAAAATATACTTCCTATACTCAAGTAGAAAATTATAACTCATGTTATCCCATGACTCAATAACCAAATGATTGAGTAGTTTTTTTTTTCAACAAAAGGAGAAAAGATAAAATCGCAAAATATACTAACCTTTTCTACTAATCATTTTTTTTCTTCAAAATAATATTAAATTAGATTGACTCCATGAATGAAGTCAAAGTTACAATGATATCGAACCTACAATTAATTAATTTTATAGATACAAAATCTCACGTCAAATTCAACTATACATATAAGCTCCACACTTTCCACCGGAAAGAAAAATACTGTAAACACCAAACACATAATTACAATATCCATGTTTAATATAATTAGCCGTAATTGAATCTATTTCGAAGATTCAAAATTCTATAAAAGTGAGCCATTTAAAAAAATGTTGAGTTTCTTAATATCATTAGTAGCTTCACATGATTAATATTCAGGCACTAGGTACTGCACACTGACCCTGTTTGTAGTTCAACTAAACTACGAAATATTGGTAAATAGGATCAATTAAATGAGCAGATAATGGAAATCATAGCAATAAAAATCAAAAGAATTCAAAAAGGAACTCCAGAAAGTGAATTGAAAATCTAGTTGGCAAGGGAAAATATAAGGTTTAGCATAGAAATTTGAAAACCAAATAACCAGCTTCTCCATCACAACCCTCAGAAAATTCCTTTTCTACAATCTCCATAGACACTTCCTGACTAGCTTCATCTTCTCATATTCTAGACTCATTCATGTCAACAATTAAAATTTTGCATGATAGAAGTAGAATAAGCTCTTATAGTCACCCAACTCCAAATCCTAAGCCTTTCAAAATAATTTGAAAGGAAGCTTCAGAAATGCGCATAGTTAGTTGCAATGTAAACAACAACCACAGTTACCACTTAACAGTTGCCCAGTGAGGAGTGATATATATTTCGATCTATCTAACTTCAGATTTTGATTCTTGAATCTTTTGAGTTATAATAGACGCGAGACCAACAAGAGAACCATCGTCACTTATAAACACATCATAAAAGAGGTTTCTCTGAGATTTGAGAAATTGCAAGGAGCACAAATGCTTTCCAAAAACCCTACGAATATGAATTGTTCCCTGATGGCAAATGCACATTCTTCAATCTCATAAGGGACTCCAATAGAATGTTTAAGAGCAACAAATTACCCGTCAAATCATTCCTTTCACAAAATTGAAGCGCATTAGAACCCTAAACTACAAAACCTTAACCCTTTTTTGAAACAAAACCTTAACCCTAATGAACTAATCGCGGTGCTTTGAAAGTGAAATCAATTACCTCAAGAAGAAAATTTATGCTGTCAATTACCTCCCTTCCCTACTTTTATTATTTTTTAAAACTATTAATTTTATTTCCAATTTGGATCCGTAATTTTAAATTAGGTAGTAATACGTAGTGTTGAAACTTGAAGTGAAAAAAAAAATTACTACATACATATATGAATCAGTAAAAAAAACGTATATATACATATATATATATATATATATATATATACATATATTATGAAAGAAAAGAAATACTACATAGAAAATTAAAACCAATTTCATTAATTACATATTCAATACTATTTTTTATTCAAAGTATATAAACAACATCTTCTGGAAAAAAAAATCATTAGTCTCATATCTATTATCTAAACAAAAACCATATTACTTCCTATTCATTTTTAATCATAATAATTAATTTTAGAGTATTCCGTTTATATAACATCAAATCTACCTCCCATATATAAGCACACAAATTGAAGGAAGGAAACGATATTTTGACTAATAATTTTCTTCTATTCTCATGAGAAATAGTCCAAGAAATTAACTTGTTCTATTTATTTTTTATTGATTAGAAAATAAATTGTTAAACTAATTTATAAAAATAAATTAAAAAATTTCAAAGAATTTCTTATGAAAATCTTAAAAATAAAAATAAATATGACATCTATTGAAATAAAACTTGATTTTGGAACAAAAGCCAATTTCTAGATACATCTTAAGCTCATATTCTATAAACATATTTTTAAATAATATCTTAAAAGATAATTGTAGAATAGTATATAAAATTATCTAGAATAGTGTGTGTTTACATCAATGAAATTTTTTTTAGAGAGTTATTTGTAGCGACTATAGATTAAAATTGTGTTAGCAAAATTCTATCTATTAATTAAAGAAAAGACATTAGTATAAATGGATATGATTCCTTAGAATTTGTTTTAAGACAAAATAAAGAAATGATTAATTATATACGTATAATTTCTTCTTTTAAAATTTTTAGTCTTTATTATTGTCAAATATTTTCTCCACTAATAAAATTTCATTCCAACGATATCTTCTAATGTTGGGTACATATTAACTCATAGTTTATTCTACATTCACACAAATATCACTTCAAGTCATTGAAATTTCACTAATAAATAAAATTTAAGTAGTTTAGTGATTTGAAACTCATTATTTGGTTTGCGCGATTAAAACAAAAAGAAAGAGTCATTCTTTGTTAAATAAAATATGAAATCCTCCACTTGTGTGAACATGTAATGAATTGAGTTGATGAGAATTATTCAATATAATTAGTTATCTGTATATTAATTAGGTGTCAGACTTTTATTATAATATATTTTTGTTTATTTAAATTATATTAGTATAGGATGTAGAGTAGAAGACAATTTTATTCAACGAAGAACATCGATGTTATGATTACATTTTTTCTTTCTAGTTTTAACCAAGATATTTCTTTTTCATGTTTAGAAGTGGGATTGAATATACTAAAGAATGCTAAATTATAATTTTACTCATTTATCTTATTTTTTTTATTTCACTCTTTTATCTATTAAAATGTTTATTTATTTAAATCAATTTAATAATTTTAAGATAATAATTATTTTTAATTTTGTAACATAATTTTAAATTAATTTTTAACTAATTCAAGATATGAAACATGTAATATTAAATTCATCTATATGAAAATTATGAGATACAATTGATGCTTGAATCCAAAAGAATTATAAATATAATAAAAATTATGTGAAAAATACATTTTATAAATAAATAATTAGAAAATAATATAACTTTCTTTTAGAAATTTTAATTTTCACTATATGTATAATATATTTAGTTTGAACTTTAGTTACATTCAATTGTTTTCATATAAGTGTTTATAATATAAATTTCAAGTCTTGAATTAGTAAAAAAATTTTAAAGAATTAAATTAATTTAAATTGACTTAAACTTAATAGATAAAAAATTAAAATAAATATTTTAAAAAATAAAAAACCAAAATAAATTAAATATAAGATAAAAGACGATATAATTAACCTTTAAAGAAATAAGCTCTATTTAATCATGCTATCTTTTAATATGAAATCTTTCCATGTTGTATCTTTACTAACAATAAATTTTAAGCACTAGTATTAATGATAGATTTATGAATTAATGATATTGATCTCAGTTATTTTTTTTATGTTTGACTGAAAAGAAAATTCCTGAGATCCCAGTTATTGAATCAACTACAGTTTCTTTAATGTTGAAATTTAATTTATTCTATCAATTTTTCCTCTTACTTATTGATATGTTATTACATCATCTAAAACAAATCTTCTTTATTCTTCTGTGTTTATTATTAGTAGAATGATGAGTAGAACTTCTAATAATTTTATACCAATAGTTCACCACTTATTCAGTCAGCAGCAACAACTAAAATCATGTTATTCGAGGTTTCATCTTTCAAGAGAAAAAAACATGTAATTTGTTGCATATACAATAGCTTTAAAATCTTATTGTGTTTGTTTTTGCATTAGTAAGACCCCAAACACGCATTTGAAAGACAAAAATTATTGTTTCTCACATTCGACAACTTTAAACATTATGACAACAAAAAATTAAAACATCCCACAAAAGAACATGGGATACATCATCTTTGTTTACTAAATTTATTTGTTAAACAGAAACAGAAATGAAATATTCTCCTTCTATGCCAACTCTATATCGCAATCTTCTGAAGCTTTGGGGTACCATAATATTCGCTTGTATAACATGTCTAGTCTCCATAATCCCGCATAAGTGTTGAAGTCATATTGACTACTATAAACACATAATGATTTCAAAGCCGGAGACTGCAACAAGAATCTTATGGCTACCATCTCTTTCTCATTCCCGGTAAAACCAGAAATCCTTATGGTTTTCAGGTGCGTTGAGAAACACGTTGGCAATGGATCCACCTTGATTGCATCACTCATACGCAGAGAAACCCCCTATATAGAAATAAAAACATATATAAAAATGAAATGAAATACATGAGCATTTGTAAATAAAAGATTAATTTCTGTTTAAACTAAGTCACCATAATGAAGTCAAGAAGTTGCAGATTTGGTGAGTTTCGCAATAGAGTCAGCAGAGGAGGACATGCGAAATTCAGTGGTGCCACAGACACCACACGAAGCTCAATCAAATTATTGAACAAAGGAAAATCCGGGATTAAATTTGGTGTACCGCATAGAGCCTGTGATATGCACAACCAAAATAACACATTTAAGAGAATGAGAATCTATATATATAATAAGTGCATGTCTAGAATATGAGACCATACATACCTGAACAGCAAAGTCAGTAATGGATAGCTTTTCCACATTTGAGAGGGCTTTAAGAAGTTTGAACACAAAATGGCCAGCGTCCAAGTCATCGTTTGTTGTTGTATGAACCTCAACAGTTCCATCCGTGATTGCTGCTGAAGAATTTAAGAAATAGTCATTTATGAGATCACCATCATAAGAGAATGTCTTGAGGTTACTACTTCCAGTGATGGTTATTCGGCAAGGTGCATCATTCTGAACATCTGGCTCATTTTCATCGTCAGGCTTGGCAGCTTCGTCATCGTCCCTCCACTCCCTTATGCTCACGCTCTCAAGTGAAGAACATGCAATATTAACAGCTCTAACCTTGCTCCAATTACAGTCAACAAGGGCCAAGTGCTCTAGGGAGGAGCAACTAGAGAAAAGTTTTTGTGTTGGGGTAGTATCAGGGAATATAACATACCTCAAAGTCAAAGTCTTGAGATTGGGAAAATAAATGGAGGGAGGAAGGTTGATAACTTGGGGCATGGTGAGATGAAAGTGTATCAATGATTTGGAGGAAAACATGTGTTCAGGTAAGACCAATAGTTCCTTCCCAATTCTATCAAAATCAAGCTTTAAATCTTGAATCCTATTCTTGATGGATTGGCTTAGCCACCGATTAACTTGTGGAGCGTCCTCACATACTTCACATGTAAGAGAAAATTTTATAAAACAGGAGGTATTACAAACTGCAAGCAATTTCTCTACAAATTCTTTGAACTCCAGTCTCTTTTCATGCTCTTCTTCTTCCAACTCAACTTTTGAGATTTCCGTCCATTTATCTTTCCATAGTTTGGACAGGACACTCGTTCGAACTGCTTGTTTTAAGGGCAGGTTGGATATGATCGCTGGAAGAAGCTCCTGTGGTAGATCACATAACTCGGTGCCCCCACCTTCATTTATTCCCTTTTGATCTCCTTCATTAAGCTTCTGGCGCTTGTTAGTCATAAAAGAAGAATCAGCATCCATGTTCTCCTGTAAACCATAAAATCATAAACATTATCAAGTTAAAATGGAGTTGGAAAAAAAAAACAACAAAAACTTTCGTAATAAACTACATTGAGCACGCATGGTATGGTATACTCTCGTAGATCGTGAAAACATTTGTATAACTGATATTATCATTTAAATGTGCAACTTCATTTGTTTTTTTCCGCGGACAAGAAGGGAATATACTCAATCCCCCTAACGCAGTCCTTTACTTCAATCATAATAAAGCCAAAGTTTGTTTCACAGCAAAGGCTTGTCAACAAAAACCATCCTCTTTAATTAGACACAGCGAAGAACTCATTCGTTTTTCTCATTTTTTTTTTCTTTCACAAAGCTACAAATAATGATAAAAGAACGTTACGCTATGCCCACGTGAGGAACTCAGATTCATACCCATTGTGCTACTTTTTACCCATTCTCCCTGGTTGAGATCGGAAATGGGGGAAGGGAGGACCCCAACTCACTCTATACTCAACACACAAAAAAGTGAGATTCAGCCTTTGAAACCATGACTCACTCGATCAGGCACAGCAAAATCACTTTTTTTTTTTTTTTTTTTTGTTTTAATGCCATGAAGGTTAATTAAGAAACCTCTTGCAACAAGTCATTGGCATGGTTTTGTTGACTATTGGCAGCAACAAACACATGCACAGTGAAAGTAGCAGCATGAGAATTGAAGCTAAGCTATATATAAGTGAAAGCAGAAATGAAAGGAACATGATACAAGCAAAAAGTGAAGGAAGTAACAACCTGAAGGGTGAAGGTGACAAGAAGTAGTAACCTTTGTTGAAAAATGGAGATGACAAGGAGTAGAAGAGGATTTCAACTCTTGGTGCTACTTGCAGTGACAGAGGAAGTGAGTGTTTGCAACAACAAAGTAAAGTGATAATAATTTGTGTAAAAACATGTTACAGGAGGTCACTATTTATAATAAAATAAACTGTGCTTGTTTGGCAGTTTTTTAGCAGGTAAAATGCAATTAATTATAGAATTTTTTCAAAATTTAATAATAAATAGTAAATAATAAATTAATTATATAAATTTAAGAAGACAATAAATTAAATTGCATAAAAAATAGATTGATTTGAAATGATTTATTATTAATACAAGTTATTAATAAGCTAAGTTTTTTTTCTTTTATTTTGTTTAATAATCTACCAATTCGGTCTCAATTTGAATTGAAACGTTAAAGATGATAAAAACTCCCTTCCTCTCAACTTTTATAGTATTATTTTTATTTCATTTGTAAGACTCACTGTCGGTATATTTATTATACTTGAATAAATTAAATATGTTAATGAATCTCAAAAAAAAAACATTAACTGTTGAAACAGTTTAAGATAAGTTCATTATTAGAGATGTAAAAAAGTAATTATGATATATAAATGCATTTATTACATTGTATAGTATATAATATTTTGAAATAAATAATAAATTTAAATATATTTTCTTATGATATAAATTCAACAAGTTTTGAATTTGGTTTTTTAATAAATAAAAACTATTTTTTATCTTGTTAAAATTAAAATAATTATATATAGTCTCTATTATTATGTGATATTCATTAACTATTTATATATTGAACAAGATATCAAATAAGATTTAAATATGTTTTTAGTCCCTCAAATTTAAGACAAATTAGTTTTTGGTCCCTCAAATTTAAAATTGTTATTTTTAGTCCCTGAAATTTTCAAAAATATTATTTTAGTCTCTTAGGTCACTAATAACATATCTGAAAATGACAAATTAAGATGATTAAATAATATCAATTGAATTTAATGTGATGTTTTCACTAATAGGAACACTAGTATATAGATTTTATGCAATAATATTTGATAATTTTCTTAACAAAATTTGAATATAAGGACTAAAATAAGATTTTTTAAAATTATAGGAATTAAAAATAATAATTTTAAATTTCATAGACCAAAAATAAATTTATCCTAAATTTCAGGAATTAAAAATATATTTAAACTTATCAAATAATTAGGTTAAGTGGCATTTACTAGTGTTTGTATTGTGTAATATGTGACAACTTTAAAAAAAAATTAAGATGTCTAAAATAAATGTTATTTATCTATTTTAAAATATTATTTAACAGTGAGCAAAATTATTTTACTTAAACTAAAAAACATTTTTAATTTTATAAAAAAAATGTAGAAAGAAAAATTAAAACTAAAACGTATTAGAGCCGAATAATAATAAAATGTAATATGTATAATTTTAAAAATCATTATTACCGAAGTTGAGGTCCTTTACCAATAAAAAAAAGATAATATTGAATAGAAAGGTCATTATGTATTGTTTTTTTTATTTTATATATTTTATACAAAGTTTCCAAGAAATTAATGATTTGAAAAACACTAATTGTCATCCTAAAAGAAAATAATAAATTCAGTAGCTTTTATATATAATAAGCAAAAAAAAAAAAAACATAATTTTTTTTTCAAACGATATGTTTTTTCTATAAGTGAAAGATTGGTCTTTTAGGTATTATATATATCTTCCTCCAAATTTCTTCAAAATATTGAAGAATTTTGATCCTCTGTAACTCGAACTAGCCTATGTTGGTTTTTAAGTTATAACAATCTCTAATAATTTAAAGGATAATATTACGTATTAACACATGTCTTAAAGATATTGATTAAGAAATTAAAATAATTATATAATAAAATATAATATTCAATATTATTAATACACTTCATCATAAAATTTCAGTAAAAATATTTATGAAGGAAGTAATTGCTTAACTAGCTCCTGAAAATAATTATGAATAATGTTACATTCACTAAAAAATCTCTCTATTTTGTGAAGAACATATTGAATGAAAAGGTAAATACGCTGAATAATTCTACATCTTCTTACTTACTAGATAAATAAGATATTGAATGTTATCAAAGTTTCCCAGACATTAATTAATTAATGCTTTGAAAGTAAAAAAAATTTAATATTTTAATTATCTATTAAATAATAAAAATTAATTGAAAATTTTGTAAGGAGATTCAAAATTGTTCCACATTTATCAATAAGACATCAGTACATTAAAATAATCATTTAAGTTTATTTTGCATATACCAAAATTACCAATTCTTTCTGAATTTTGCAAAATAAATGAGTCAGATATATACTTTGAGTCACATGAGTTTTACTAGAGTGGACCCATTCTTATTTAAAAAGAATTATTCAGATGCAAAGTAACCGACTAACTGTTCATTTAGTTTTTTTTTTCAATGATGATCACAAAACTACCATCCAACGGGGATTCCGGGATTGTTTCGTGGAATATGAGAAGAGTATTGACTTTTCTATAAATTTTCTTACAAATATATTTATTTTATAAAAAATAATAAATAAAATATACATATATTTAATTTATATATTAAACAAAGTGTTTTTGAGAATTTTTGTATGAGAAAATTTATTTTTATATTTTTTTATTAATTCAGTTTTTATTTATCATAATTATTTATAAGTTTAATTTTAATATTTTTAAAATAAATTATCAATAAATAAAAAATTATATTATTTATAATATAAATTATTTATCTTAAGTTTTAATTATATATAATAAGTATTTAGTGTATGCATTGAACATATCAAAATACTAATACCTTTCAAATATAAAAACAAATTTAATATTTAGCATATAAAGAAATTAAAAAATATAAAACATTAATTATATGTTAAATACTTTATACGTTAAATACTTTATACCAATAAGATAATAACTAATATATGATAAAAAAATCTACTTATTCTAAAAGTAAGTTTATTTAGACTTGTTCCACTCAATAACTTATATTCTACATCAAAATTTAACAATTCATTGAATTAATTAAAAATTCTTAATGTATAAATCAAATCTGAAGATTTTTAAAAAATTTGAAAGATATTTGATATTTTATTTCATTAATTAAAATTAATGGATAATCATAAAAATATTTTATACATTGATTTTAATTAATAAAATAGAGTATCAAGTAATTTTTAATTTTTAAAAAATTTGCATACTTAACTTATGTATTAAAAATTTTAATTTAACAGTTGAATTGTTAAAATTTAATATAAAATATAAGTTATTGAATAAAGTAAATCTAGTGTAAACTTCTTTTTAGAGAAAATGGACCCTTCTTATATATACATATAAATATATGTATACACATGAACACAAGTAATTTAGTTTGTACAATATACAAATTAATATATAACTAAAATTTAAAATAAATTATGTATATAAATAAATACTATGATTAAATATATAGATTATATTTAAATACAAATTTATAAATATATAAATCATATTTTATATTTATGATAAATAATTTATATTTTAACATGATATAAATGCTATTTATTAATAATTTATAGAAATAAACTACTATTAAAAAGTAAAACATTCAAATATTTTATCTATATAAAGGAATAAAGGTGATTATTTTTAAAATACAGACTATAATAAAAGAATTAAAATATTTATTTTAAAAAGAAAATTATCTTCACAATAAATATTATAAAAAGAGGATATATAAAATATTACATTAAAAATATTAAAGGGATAAAAAGATCAAATCCCACTATTTTGATAAGTAAATTCTTAAATGTAAATAATTGCTTTAATTGTTGTAAATTAAAAAATATATAATATATTTAAAAAATAAATAAAATTATAAAAATACATATCTACTCAATAAAATCTCTTGCAATTAAGGATGAAATATCTTTTGGTGAACTTCTTAGTTCTTAGTTCCATAAGTAAGATTTTTGGTTAAGTTGAATAATACTGAATTTAGACTAATCATTAAATAGATAATAGTGTTTGGTTTAAAGATTTTTAATATGTCATTAGTTATTTATCCGATAGTTACATGAGAGTTTGATTCCTTTATATTTTTATCCATTTTTATAGTTTTAAGTGTGTAAACAACATTAAATATCAATCATAAAAAATTAACTAAAATTTTTAAGTTTTCAAAAAAAGTAATTTTTTTTTAAAAAAAGAAGAAGATGAAACTCATAATTATGTGAAATCTCACACCCAATTGAAAAATGAAAAGCTTTCAGTTTTGTCAAAACCAAACAGACCCACTTCGATGAATTCAAGAAACCACAAATCTTTACCGAATACAGTTTGCAGTGGCTAAAATTAATTTTAACAGGCACTCAATGGGCCAACCCAATTCGGTAAAGAAAAAAACAATGATGAAGAAATAATGATTAGGATTACAAGTGGTTTTCAGAAACAATAAAGACTTAATCACTTATATACTACTAGTATAAAATTTTTTTACACTAATAACCAATTATATTTTTTAATTGTATCATGTCACTGTAAACACGTTTACTTTTAACAATGACATGACACAATTAAAATATATAATTGATTGTTAGTGTAAAAAAACTTTACACTAACAGTATATAAGTGATTAACTCAACAATAAAATGGGCATTAGGATAAGCAAAAAGAAAAAACTTTTCTTGGATACACTTTTTTTAAAATGATTTTATTTTTAAATAATAAAAAATAATATTGACAAATTTAAGATTTGAATTCAAGAATTTGAGATACAAAAAATAGATGCAACATTAATTAATTAAATAAATATTAATAATTTTTAAATACTTTTATTAAATAAGATATGAAAACATGGAGTGTCCTGATTTCAGTAATAACTTATTATGGTGCTAGCAAACTAGCACATCACATGGTCTATCAAAATTGATGAATCTCAAACTAAAATTAAAGCAAACCACAAAGAAAAAATCGGTATAGAAGAAACTCAATACTTAACTGCCAATATTATTTCTCTTAGTCTCTTCATGACCCATAATATTAGTAGAGATCGACAAGATAAAGTATCCAACCAATGTAATTTTGAG